GAAAAACATCTTTCCAACTACTGCAAAAATGCCTCAGCAACAATTGTAAGAAAATATATGTCAAAAATATTAGAACGGCAAGATAAAGTGACTAAAAAAAGAAAACTTTCAAGTGGTCAACAATATATGGACAATTATCATGATTCAACAGACCTTCCTGATGTAAGAATTACACGAATTAACCATGCATTAATTAAATTTTTTGTTTCATGCGGAATATCATTTCGTATAGTTGAGCACACTTTTTTTATAAATTTTATAAAAAAGCTCAATGGTGGGTATGATCTGCCAACAAGAGAGATGTTAGCAAGTTAAATGCTAGAACAGGAACTAGCACAAGTGAATAATAAAGTGAAAATAGAAATTGAGAGTGAAACTAATTTAACAATAAGTTTGTGGCAATATAATTTATTTTTATTTTATTTCACTATCATAATTTTTTTTTTATTTATTTAGCTTTTGATGGCTGGACCTCACACATTTACCGATCGATTTGGAATTTTATTGTAATAACACCATCAAGAAAAAAATATTTATATCAACTATCTGATTTATCAGAATGTTTACATACTGCAGAATATTTATCATCAGTTATTGAAAAGGTAATTGTTGATATTGGGATTGATCAAATATCGGCCGTAGTCTCTGATAACGCTTCAAATGTTAAAAAAGCATGCGAAATTATTCAAGATAAGTTTCCAACTATCAAAAATGTTAGGTGCATTATGCATTGTATAAATTTGATAGCATGCGATATTGTAAAAGAAGAATTTGGAGATCGTTTGTTACACTGAGTCAATATCTTGACTTCTTTTTTCAAAAATTCACATCAAGGAAATTCAAAATTAACTCAATTAATCAAGGAAAAGCGGATTGTTGGCGGTGGGTTGAAATTATATTGCAAAATACGTTAGACTACGGCAAGTGAATCAGTTAATTCAGTAATTAACTTGGAACAAATCCTTATGAAAATTGTTGCCAATAACGGTAACTTATTAACAAACGATAGTATTGCTTGAATTATTCAATCACAAAATTTTTTTCTGGACTTACAAATCCTTGCATTTGTACTGGAACCATTAAGGAAAGCTGTATTAGCTCTTGAGGCAAAATCAGCTACACTTGCAGATTGTTTTCTTAGTTTGGCTAAACTTGCAGCCGTGTTGAATAAGTTACCAAAATCATTTAATTTCCATTTTCATAGCCATTGTGTTAAAATTATTAATGAACGTTTTAATGAGTTCAATGATGATAAATATATCACATATTTTTTTTAGATCCCGTTTCAGAAGTGCAGCATTAAAAAAAGTTTCTCTCAAAAAAATTATAAAATGTGTTGTTGCGATCGGTAAAAGGCTTGGATTCGATCTTTACGAAATTGGTATTTTACTCAATCAGTTATGAAAATACAAAGATGAAGAGGATCCGTTTGACTTGGATCTCTCTATCGCCAAACAAAGTTCACTTAATTGGTGGAAGTTGATTGCTACAGATCCAAAACCTGAATTATTGCCAAAAGTGGCGTGTTACTTACTTTCAATATGTCCAAATTCAGCTACATGTGAACGTGGATTCTCAACCTTAGGGTGGCTTTTCGAAAGACGTTTAAACCTCAAATTGACAACATTAGAATCGATGTATAAGTTAATTACCTATTGGAAATCTAATTCTAAAACAGAACTTGATTATTATGGAGTCGATCAAAGGAAAAATGTACGTTTTAGTGATGACAAAATAAATATTTGTATAGTGGAGGCTTTCAAAGAAACGGACGAGGATGATGATGATGATCTTACTCCCACTCACAAATCTACTGGTAGTGAAAAAATTCCGAAAGACAATTGTTATGTTTTAATTGAACCCGTATAGATTGACAAATTTATTAATTTGTCACACGATTTAATAATTAAAGATATTGATGTTCCAAAGAATCTCTTAGACGATTTTAATGAAAATATGAATGATAACAACAGAATAAGTGATGATGCCAGTGGTGATGAAGATGATAATAGAGATGGGAAAGGCTATTATAATTATGATGTAGATGATTTATTATCTAATACTGATAAGGAGGAGGAAGACTAATAATTAATTTTTGCGTTGCAGTCACAAGCAGTTCAGTTTAATAAGTATTAGTTATTTACTAATCTAGTAGTATATAAATGGGTTATCATCTAAAGGATGATGGTCCATTTATATACTAAACTAGATCAGTAAATAACTTTTTTATCATCCTAGATATACTAATTGGTCCGCCAGTTTATAACTAGCGGAAAAAATCCTAAATACCAATTAGTAGCTAGGTGATAATAATAATTATAATAACAATAACAATAACAATTATAATAATAATAATAATAATAATTATATTTTGAATTAATAATAGTAGTAATTAATAAAGTTTTGCCATTTATTATAGTAAATCAAAATGAATTAATATATTAAATATATTATGTATATCTTAAACCCACCACAAACATTATGAGAACAAGTATCATGAAGAGTTGTATTATTAATCAATAGACGACAGGAGTTGGTAAAAATGCCGCATAGTGCTGAAAAGTCCGTTCCTATAAAAAAAGAAAAAAAAAAGAATGTTAATAACGCTCTTATATTAAAGCATAAAACTCTTCCCCTTCCTTTATAATTACCACTTTAGAATGTCTAGCAAACAAGTCCAAGTAGCCGCAAACCTAATAATAAAGTATATTTAGTATTGAACCAAGAAATAAACAAAAGTAAAAGAAAAATAAACTTGCTGCTAATTCCATGTTTAAGAAAGTCTACATGCAACACAGGGCCTATCACATATATAAATATTAATGTCAAACTATATGTTATGGAAAGCTGAGAACTCTATAATGCCGAGATCACTAGGCGCAGGACCCCGCTTACTTCTAATAAAGGTCTCCGGGCAAAATTTCAGATTTACTAGTAATTTTACCAACCTTTCTTATCTCATAATTTTACCATATATATATAGTGACCTTTTAAAATTATATTAAATTTTACCTTAGATTTTCAGAGACCTAAATTTTTTTAAATATTAAATAAACAAAATATTTTATAATCATTACAATAAATTTTAAAAATTTTTTATTTTTACTAAGTTTAATTCTTATTCTTTAAAGATAAATAACTTTTATTAGTAAAAAAAGTAC